TCTCGCTACTTTTCAAAAAGTCGGCTCGAAAAAATCGAGTTTTCCTCCGTCACGTATTTTTTGTTCGAATTACGTCAACAAATCGAGTTTGTTTCACGAATAAATGATTCATTGCAAATGACAGACTTGGGGTGAAGTCGTCGTCCACTGCACTTTTCCATTTTCCCATCAATCTTCGCGCAAAGAACCGTGCCGGTCTGCCCCCATGGGCGGGACCCATGCATTTAATGCGGCACGGTCTTTTCGCCTACTAATTTCCGTTCATTTCGATAAATTGCTTAATGTAATTCTCTGTATTTCGTTTTTAGTCGTTCTTTTGATCTCGCTTGTTAAATGCAAAAAGTTCTTTGTTTGCAACCGCATTTGATGATTCTAATCGAAGCGGTTCCTCGTGGCTTCACCGAAGACCACTTGGTGACCACCACGATAGTTCCGACGTTTCCCCGATATCGGTCTCAACCACGAACTTCTCCTAACAGCTACAGGCTCTCTCCATCATTAATACGAGGTCGCCACCCACAATGTCGCCGACCAAACCGAAATCGCTACCGTAACTAGCTGATCATACATCATCGAGTTCGGTCAGAACATTGCCCAGTGGGTGAGATTCCCGGGTGTTCTGCCAACGGGGCAAAGGGCGCTGGGGGAACTGCAAAAAAATTGCTGACAAGCCGCGACGCTTTTATGGCCATTTCGGGACCAAAGCAAATTGTGTGGCAGCAACGGCAACTGCCTGATAGCCCCGCTTATCACAACACAACGCAAGTGTCATTAAAATTCCTTCCTTTCTTGGAACGCCCTCGCTCATTTCTTGGAAGAAGGGTGTTGGTGGGTCTTTAACTTTTACCTTTGTTCCGGATAATCGCTACTGAAAAGTGGTATTTTCCGGAGCTTTTAGGTACTACTACATGTCCTCTGGGAGGGTCTCATGCCTCAAGAGACAAATTTTCTGCCTCTTCGATGCCTCTTTTTTTGTTTGTTTTCCTTTATCTTCATGTGATCCCACAGTGGGTATACCGATGTGCCCTAAAAGGGCCCAGAGCTGTCCAGAAAATGAAGGTCAGGCGATAAATTCTGAGTATTGTCAGATAGTATTTTCAACAAATTCTTCCTCTAGAAGTTCCTCTTCTTCCTACCGCTCTCTCCTGTTAATTGTGAATAACAGCCTCTTGAGGTGAACTTGAATTTTTCTTGGACCTAGTTTGTGAAATTCAAGCTGCCTTAGACTCTTCATATGGCCCCGAGAAAGTAGTCCTTCTATGGAGGTCCTTCTATGGTCTGTTTTTCTCCAGAACTCTTTAATTTCCTCTTAGAATTGGTTTCTTCGAATGTGTTTCCCCTTCGTCGTTTTTGTTTTAACGAGGTTCGGCTACGGACGACAAACGTATTTTTCCCCAAAAATAGATTAATTTACAATGGAAAGGGGTAACACGGGAGGATTGAGTTGATTGATTGGCAAGTAACTTTGTAAGGGACGCATTCAATCGATTAAACGACTGTCTATGGATGTTCAAATGCATGGTGTCAACCATCACGTACTAGTCATCTCAGTAATCATATCATATGCGATTGTCGCCGTTATTAATCATTATCGTCTCATTACTTACTCATAAGGAACCATCTTCGAGTTCATGGCTCATAAAACCGGTTTTAGAGGGAAAAAATTGGGCGTGAACAATCACGTACCCTACGATCTGGCCAGTTTTCTCGAATAAACGCTAAGAGAGGTGTTTCGCGAGTGATTTGAAGGGAGATAGACGGCTTATCCGGGACGACCACCGAAAACCCTCCATCTGGATTCTGAACCCTTCCCCTGCCTCGTGAATCATGCAGATGGCCATTTTTCTCAGCATGGTTTCCTCATACGTCGTCAAAAACACGGCCCAAACAAGCTTTTGTATCTGCAGGTGGTCGCTGAGGGTCTGTCCACGACGGGACGACCTCCGTCCATGTCTATTCTGGATACGTTCGTTAATCATTGCCAATCTGAGGAAACATGTTCCTTGGAAGCAAAGAGGATACTGGGAGGTACCGGGGTTCCCGATTCTTTCCATACCAAAGTACATAGGTAACCCACGCAGTTCCTAGGATGGATTTTCTATCAGGACAAAAGCGTAACAATGCAAAGCTCCGCCTCTACCGTACGCATAGTCTGAAGTACATACCAGAGAAGATTGTGGGAGTACCGGCTTCCCCATTCAGGCCATTCGTAAACCCTAGACTGGAACCTGCCCAGTCAGGTTCTTTCTCTCTTAGTTCAGTTAGTTCGTACCAAGCTCTTTTGCGAGCACAAAAAGGTGCAGTCCCACATAAGCTATGGCAGAGCCCCCACGCATTCAGTCTCCCCACGATCCTGAAAGAGTGGTGCATTCTAAAAAAATGGATCAAGGCTGAAAACTTGTTTTTTATCACTTTCAATCAACGAGTGCGTCGAAGGCAGAGGCCTGCCAGCAGAAATGCGCCATGCACACGGCTTCACTGGGGAATTTCGGTGAGCTTATAGCACGCTCCCGTAGTCTGAAATGGTGACCCATAAAACCTGCCCGTAGTTCGTCTACATTTAGACCTTTCTAGGAGTTTTCGATACCTTCCATCGTCAGTGAAAAGCTCAAAAACAAGGCCTGGGATCAATCCAACGGAAAAGCTAAGGACGTTTCATCTCACCTACTGTATCGATCTGCTCACACCCAATGATAGATCGCATTGCCAGAAACCGCTACATTTTTTGCTGTAAAGGCTAAAATAAGTGAACTTTCTGCTTGATAAATTAGGGTGGGTAACTCGCAGCAACACCGCCAACCTTTCCATTGACAGCACTTGCTTGCCCCATGTCCCAAATTCATTTCTTTTGCAGGTATATCTTATTCGCCACCATCACAATCCAATGCGTTCAGCCTATTGCACTGATAGGCAGTTTTTCTGAAACAGATGGCGTCTGTGCGTTTTTCGCCGTTGAAATCATCACCGACCTATTGATTGTCATCAGTACGTGGGGATAGAGAAATGGGGGGAACGCCTTGTGTGCATACCCGTTCCCACAGAAACCCCACCACTCCCACCATTGAGTAAACGTTATTGTGATGGTAGACGGAAATTTTTGTTTTTTCCTTTCGGACTATCCTTTCTGCATAGTTTTTGCCCCGGCAACTTCTTAAAGCACCTACACTGCTTGGTTCCCAGGTCTCAAAGAGTTGGCGAATTCTCTGTTGGTCGTGTTGTTGTTTGCAGCTCCCCATCACATCTTCACCGCCCCGTCTGCGGCTTGCAGAAAAAGCGGAAATGGCCGTTTGCGACCCGTCGAAGCCACACCCATGCCCCTCTCTCTCCGTGTATATGTGTGTGACATAGATTGTTCGCTTCTACCCACAGAGCGCCGCCGTAGCGACTATGAACTGGTCATACGAGCCTCGCGCGCGTACGCCGCCTCCGACCGACTAGGGGGAGCGCGACCTTGGATTTCTCTCTCGTGATTCCTCTTTCTCTATTCCACGACTTCCTCTTCTCCACCTTCTTCACAGCGCCCTCGTTTTTCATTCACATCATTCCTCTCATTCGTCATCGCCTTCGAACGGCCAAATCTCTTGCCTAACAGGCATTTCCCTGAGTGCCCATCGTTGCGTTTCTAGGAAACCATGGCCGTTCGCTTCTCAAACTACTCCTCTATCTCCTCAATTCACTTTTTTTAACCAAAATCGACTAGATCGATAATGGGCATGTTCGGTTCTGATGGAACGGAGTGTACCCATGAAACAGTACTAGAATATACTCAAAAACGGTATCGTATGATCGATATCCATCGGCCTTGATGCTATCGGATTACATGCGATGTAAAATCCGTTTCGGTATTTTGCCCTTGATGTTGATCGTCCATTTAAGAACCATGAAAATTTCGTTTCGGGACCAGCAATGGCCCCCTAGATCACCAGAAAACCTGTCATCAGTTTCATCAGTTTACATTTTGTTAAGAACCATCGCAGTCAGCTGCTGTCCTCAGAAGCCACACCACGCCGCAGGTGTGTTCTAGCCTTCTGCTGTTTTTTTTTTCTGTGACAAGGAGGAGTTCTAGGCCCGAATTAGGCCTTCTGCTTCATTCCTTCGCGGACCAATGATTTTCCTCTCCCTCAGGGTGTGCCCCCCCCCCTTCCCCCTCGCCGCCCCCACATTCCTCAACTCATTCTCTGTTCTCTGAGTTTTTTCTTCGATTCGATTCTGATTGCAATTCTTATAGGATTACATCGAATTGCCTCTACTAGTAATAATTTATATTCGCTTTTTTTGCTTTATTCATTCATTTAATTCTGTCAGAAAAAAGTTCGGAGTGATAGGGATTGCGCCATGCACCCAATACTCCCCAGAAATCGTGACCGAATTTCTCCGTATTCCAGGGTTCTCCAGCAGACATCTGTAAAATAGGAAGCCAATGAGGAAATTGTTAAGCAGTCTTGTTGCCCTGACCCAGAACGTACTTTTTATTCTTGAAAAGAACAAAATCGGTACTTTCCCATATGTGGAACCAACCAGTTGAACCGATCTTCACGTGACATGACTATTCTCACGATTGGCTCGCCTTCATAGTTCGCCAATTTCCCATCAACTCCTCACAGTACCCCTCACCATTGCTGTCAATATAGAGCCGTTTTTGTTCGATCAAATAAGTTCCAGTGAAGGTCAGGTGATGTCAGGTTTCTCTGGCAATTCACCACCGAGACTGCTGTGGTTTCATGAAATGGAGTGTCGTCGGCAACGAGAAATTTTTTTTCTGACGCCAAGCGACATTTGATTCTCATCTGAAAGCGGCCATGGCGGTGGCTGATGGGTCGGGGTAGTTGCTGCTACAGAAACCTGTTCATAATAAAAGTTTGACGACGACGGCGACGGTGACGATCGTCTTCCTAAACAGCCCCGCCATCGCTATTGCCCCTCTTCCACCCAATTCTCCCTCACAACCACCATATCCAATTGGTGTGTGCGAATGACTAGCGGTAATTGCACAAGGAAGATTAGAAGTCCTTAAGCATTTCAACCCATTTCCATTGTTCCTTGGCATGGATCAATCGTGATCGGGGTGGCGACTCGTCACCCAGAGCACAGAACTCGTTTAGAAGTCTTCTCCCACCTACCACGGCATTTCTCACGCTTATTAGGAACCCATCAAACGGATCGATTCCGGGCATTGTCGGGGTGATTTGGCGCCAATCAGCCATTTTCACATGCCAGTTTTTCCACTTCGGACAGAAACACTCTTATACGCGGTGCCGGCGGCCTTTTTTGGTCATAGCGCCAGATTGATGGCCGGTACTCGACGCCTTGACGGTTTTTATTCGTCCACTTCCCTCCCTATCCCCTCTGTGCATCTCCCGCACACATACACACGATGGTTAGACGTTTTACGTCGACATTGATTAATGGCAGTTGTCTGGGGGCGGTGGTGGTGGTGGTGGCGCCAGTAGTGGTGGGTGGGTGGTAGAAAGTCGTTGACGGCTACATGCTTCAGTAGTTCACGTCGAGCTAGGCTTGACGAAATACAAAAACTTTCCGAGGGAAGCTTAAACGCTCAGGATCTGGTTTCCCAACCCAACTACTTCATCACACATGTCCATCAACCAATTTCTGCTACCAGATCTTGAAAAAATTTTAAATTCATCAGTGATTTACTTCAACATTAATTACTCATACTAAGGTTTCCTGAGTGAATGGAAGAGAATTAAAACAAGGAGAATAGTTGAGAAGAAAAAGAGAAAAACAGTGAGCACAAAAGTCATCATCCTATTACGCCATGAACCCTTCTACCGGCTGAAATCGCAGATACAATTGCATAAGTATGAGCCGAAAACTCGTTTGAATCGAGGTTTCCTCACCCTAGTTCTGGAACCATCTTGATCCTTTCTTAGAAATCGGTACAGTGCCTTCGGTAAAGGGTCTGGCCAGTGCTTCGTGGTGTCATTCAGTACAGGGCCAAGCCTCAAAGGAAACCAGTTAAGCCTGAGTGAGAGATCTACTTTAGTCATGCCACCTTATGAAAGGCAGCCGGCAGACGTGTTTGGCTATGAGGCCGACACGGGTTCGATCTTCCGGAGTACCGAAAGGATATGGATGTGGTTGAGTGGCATGAACGGAGATGTACATGCCTTGAAAATCTTCTGACAAACTGGTTTTGCCCAACTTTGCCAAAAATATTCTTCATATTTATCTGTTTTTCTTACAATTGACGTATGCCTTTCGCAATCTTTCGTTCTTGTTGCACTTTCTACAGCTTTCACACTTTCAGTCAGTCGATCACTGCCTTTCCGCTACTAGTTTCCGTACAATACATGTTTTTCGTGGGGTAGTTTGTTAGATAGTTCTGGCTCTTCACGTTTTCCTCATCAACGCCGTCATCGTCGTCGTCTTCGTCGTCGTCGTCGTTGACGTCGTTGTTATTTCATCTTTCACTTATACCCTACTAATGTGTTTGAAACGACATATCTTTTCGATGAGAAAAGGTCACACCCATGAACACATGTTGCGGCCTTAGCGCTTCTTTCAACTGAAGAGCCACACCTTCACGCTCGCGTTCACCGTCGTTCGCCATCCGTTCGTGTCCACGTAATTTCTGTCTGATATCACCCCACCTTCACCTGTGTCTCTGTTCTGTTACAGATCTGCGAAACGAACGCACCGCTGATGTTCAGCAACGAGTCGTTCAGTTCGAGCGTCTCCACTACGAGTTCATCATCTTCTACACATCATTTTTCTGTGGAAAATGTCGTACACTTCCCAAATAAGCCTCGACTATCCATTGATGCCACCGCTCGTGCCTCCAATGCCATACGCCTTTCACCTGGATTCATCGAAGCTGGTAAGAGTTTACTACAGTTTGGCAACCCCACCTAACTTATTGCCTGCTTTACCCTTTATATTTCATTTGGTTGTTTTCTTTTAATTATTTTGGTTGAATCCCCTTTTTTGAATTACAGAACTTGTTTGTTGAGAAATCTTGTTGAATTAATCATTTGTTTTTCTAAACGAGAAAACCCAGAGGGATAGGAATCGATCGAATCAATCGTGATCCAAAACCTTTCAAAATCTCACTTCTAACCTAACTTCTGACCCAATTAACTACCTACAGACATCTGGGAGGCCGCGAGAGACCACCCTGCCCAATAAAGGGAAGTCTCCTTGAAAGCTACCAGCTTACTCACCCATGAAAGACAAGGACGTAAATTAATTTTGATTTCCTTTTTAATCGACGCTTTGTAATAACTTCCAATAA